AGAGGAAGTATCACAACTGTAGACGGAAGAGATTATAAGACTTTGCCCTTTATTTTGGCTCTTTTAGGTTAATTTCCATGACTCTTCCATGCGATCAAGGGGTTATCCTTGGACTTGCTCCCTTACTCATTACAATTCATAATAATTTGGAAGAAAGGATCAGGCCTGTAAGGAGAGAGCCAGTTAGCCCTAAAAATGCTTTGTCCACCCATGTGCCAAGGTGTAAGGAGCATGAAGTGACAGACCCAGGCATAATAGATGGCCGCTCAATACTATCATTGAGAGCCATCAAACTGACTCCCTTCTTTCCAAGAGCATCCCTCCTCTCAAACTTTACTTGAGGTTCTTATCGTTAGAAAAGTCAATTGACTAATCTTTGTATTTGCATTGTCACTTCCCGTTTGTACGTTAGCATAAAGTATGCTGCTTTATTGGGTTTAATCTGGAAAAAATATTGAGCACTTACTATGTGCCCGGCACAGTTGTTGGTACTAGAAATACAGCAGTGGACAGAATGACAAAAATCTTGGCCCTCCTGAAACTTACATTCCGGTGGAGAACACATTCAATAAACAAGTACAACAAAATCGATAGTATGTTAACTATTAGATGCTGGAGAGTAAGAAAATGAAGCGGACAAGGGGACTATGAACTGTGGTGGGTGGGTTGAGAAAGACTGAAATTTTAGATAAAGTGGCCAGAAAAGCCTTCACGTAATCAGATAAATAACCTTCATCTGAAAGGGTAAAGGGGGCAAAATCTAGGACTTGATTAGTGTCAGCTGGAGTGCAGAAAGACTAGGAGATTAGCATATTTCAAGTAGCCCTGACGTGGAGAGGAAACCATATGAGATGGAGGAGAGAAGCAAAGTTAAACTATGGACCACTGAAGAGAAATGTGGGCTTTACATTTTGCCTAGGACTGACTCGTCCTTTGAGCATGGCACAACACACTTTCTCATTTTAGTCAAAGAACCAGGGTCTGCTGCCAAAACCCTCAGGCAGACCATGAGACATGGACTCCAGCAGGCTCCCCCGAACCGGCTTTCCCCAGGAACGGAGCTAATGCCGAGCAGAAAGCGGTATAAATTGAGAGTCGAGTACTGGCCTGGGAAACTGGGAGAGAGTAGTTAGAAAGACACCAATAGCCCCTTGATAAAGTATACAAATAGAAACCTAACCCCTTGACCACCACCATGCAAACCCAGGGAGGCACAGCAAGCGAACACACCCCCAGGACTGTAGGCACAGAGCGAGGAGCAGAGGAGGCATGAATTCAACCGTTAGAGCCCAAAGCCCAGAATTTCCCAAGGCAGGGTCGGTACCGCGCGAGGGAAACGCCGTTCCCCACGGTAGGAGCGGGAGGGCGGAGGGTGGGAGCGTGTGCTCGGGAACGAGGCTTTGGGCGGCAAGCAGGCAAGGCCGCCGCAGGAGGAGGGGGCAGTTTCGTCCCGCGTCCCGGGTCCCCGGCGCCCGCCAGCCGCGTGCATGCAACAGGGAGCTGGACGCGAGCGGGCGCCCCGAGGGGCCGAGACGGGGCCGGGACCGGCCCCAGACAAAGTGCCCCATACACGCGTGCCCCGGCCCGCGCGCCCCCAGCCCCCA